AAGGGGGGTCTGTCCATCCCCGATAAACCCGCGCATCTGGCACTCGACGTCGGAGAGACGAGGCACTCACTGGCGAGGACCACATTCGAGCCGCAACGGGAGAGTCTGCCGTCGCAGTGCCTCAGGATCTTCGGTCTGTTCTCCGCACCGTGCTTGCACTCAGGGCTCCTACTTCCGTCACCAGAAGACTTCGACGGGTGCGCCGAGGTTTCGCCTATCACATCTGACGGGAGAACAATCCCTGGGGAGGCTTGTCCCAGCGGGGGGCTGTCCCGAGAAGTTGCCTGGAGCCCCGCTGGGTTGTCCAGGGGGGGTTGTCCGGGGAGGGCCGCACTGTCGTCCTGTATCCATCCGAAGGAATTGGTCCAGGTCTTCCAGGGGGGAGGTCTGGGGGATTCTTGTGCTCGGGCTACCCAGCGGTCGTTGAAAGTAGGTGTTTCTGGATTCCCAGATTCCACTCTGCTTTCGGCGCCTCCCTGCTTCACAGATCGCGCGCCTTCACCGTCTCCGTCCCCCTTGGGGGGCGGACGGAACCCAACCTACTTCCTACTCCTCCTCCTGCTCCTCCTCCTCATGTTTTCTACCTACAGTTGACATGTTTTCATGTTTCTACCTTCATGTTTCTACCTTCAGGGGTCTCCGCCTTCCTACTTCATGTTTTCTACCTACAGTCAACCCGCAGAGTAAGGATGAGCAACTTGTCCTGGGTTACCCTTGCATCCTCGCCCATTCGGTGCATCCCTGGCAACTTTCGCTGGCCAGCCCCTTGGGGCACCCTTGGGGCGGGCTGGCGCTCCGTTCGAGAAGCGTCAACGTGGCTTTCCTGCGTCATGCTTCTACCTACAGTCGACCCGCAGAGTAAGGATGGGCAGTCCTCCCAAGGGTACCCTTGCATCCTTGCCCCCTCGGTCCATCCTTGGCCACTTTCGTCGACCGCGCCCCGCTCGAAGTGCTTCGAGATGGGCTTTCCGAGGCCCTTTGCAGCGCTACAGTCGGGGCCCTGAAGAAGGAACCCTTTTCTTTGGGGAGGGGCTTCGTGTTCCTTGATTGCCTCACAGTTTGCCTTGGGTTTTCCTCTGGTTTTCGATGTGAAATCGAAGTTCAACTTGTGGATGATAGGGGCCTCGTTCCTTATTTAGGGGTTCCTGCGGTCAACGCTCCGACTGTGTCGCGCATCCTTGCTCTGCGGGTTGCCTTGCACTCCTTCCGACCGAGCGGCATGGCTCTCCACTTGCCGCACGGCGGGTGCCCGCCCGGGTGGCCGGCCGTGGGCGCCTCGCAGTGGGCGTCCCGTGCGCCGGGGGCGGCTTTTTCCGCCGGGGTTATGAGTCGGGCACGTCCCTCTGTTGAAGGAATACTCCAGACTTCGTGATAAAAAGGGAGGGGGTCTCAACCCTCCCAGACGAGAAGTCTTAGACCCCCCCCCCCGTGGGAGAACCCTCCAAAACATGGTCCCCAGACCCCCCCAGGCCCTCCAAGATAGCCTGGAAGAGACCCCCCCCGAAATGAGACCCCCCTCCCTTTATTACGAAATCTGGAGTATTCAAAAATAGTTTAAAAAAATAGCCTGGAGGAATTTTCAAAAATAGTCGAAACCATAGCCTGGGGACGACTTGTCTAGTATTTGTTTGTCCATGTTTCACGCGTCGCGTATCCCCACTGCACTTGTCTCCGCCCTGTAGACTTCGCCACCCTTGTGGCCCCTTTTCCGCATCACACTTGCGACAGCAGGGCTTGCGCTACTCTCTCGACCTTACTGACGGCGCGCGACTGACTGCGTGTTCTCCGTATCGGTTCTCCCGCGAACGTCGGCCGTGCGGCCACGGCAGCATGCGCGCGCCCAGGGGGCCCGCGGGGGCAGCTCCGGGCGGTCCACGGCCCCGCGGGATGCCCCGGCGTCGCCGAGAATGGCTGCTCGCGTGCCGCGGTGCCCTCCCCAACCGCAGCGGAGGGAGGCCCCACGCTATCATATTTAAACAATATGTTTCTTTATTTTATACGTTTGGAATAAGCATATTTTAAATCATTTATGCAAATCGGGTCGTGATATATTATATGGCAATGATTGTGGTGAAACATTTAAAGCTAAATCCGCACGCGGGGAGATTCGGGGCGTCGCCCACGACGCGAGCGGAGCCGAGAGTCATGGCCTAGCTGTGACTAGAACCTGAGCGCGCGAAAGCGTGCGTGATTCGAACCTGTACCATTAGTATACACATACCCATACCTATATCGAGAGAGAGAGGGGGAGAGAGAGAGAGAGGGACAGAGGGAGAGAGATAGAGAGAGAGAGAGATGGAGAGAGAGAGGGAAGGAGAGAGAGAGGGAGAGGGACAGAGAATAGAGAGAGAGAGAGAGAGAACGAGAGATAGAGAGAGAGACGCAAGGGGGGGTGCCGAGTGGCTTTTGTTCCCTAGGTCGCGCCTGCCCAGATCGGGATAGCTTCAGATGTTCATATGAGAACTGCGTTGCGTGGGGAAGTTAGCAAGGGACGCCAGCACGGAAAGTTCGTGCAGGGAGGTCGTTTGCGGAGCTCGTTGGGAGAATTCGTAGGTGGGGTTATTGTGGAGAGAGTGGGTGTATGGAATTTTCGCAAGAGGGTTGGTCTTGCTTCGTTAGTGGTGGGCATTTGCAAGGTGGACCTTGCCATGCCATCGTCCGTGGTGGCCAGCTGATTGTCTCAGATGTCGCAGGGTGTGGTTGTCCTTATTATACCCGATCGTTCGGGGTGCGCTATTTCGTCGTTCCTGTCTGCAGCACCGTCTTCGTTAAACGCACAATGGGTTCCGCTTCGGTGCCGCGCTTCCCTGAGTCAGGGGCAGCGTGTTAGTATTGGGGTGTTAGAGCTGGGGTGACCAAGTCAGGTCTAGGGTGGGGTTCGAGTCGTCGGGTCTGGGGTGGGCGCCAGCCTTAGTGTCAGGGCTTGTGGGGTTCGAGTGTTTGCGTCATGGCATTTGGGCTAGCGTTAGGGTGTTAGGGTCAGGTTGTTCGGGTTCTGTTCCTAAAAGTTCTAGTCTCTGGGTTAGGGTTGTTGGGTTAGATTTAGGGCAGTAGGGTTAGATTGATCTGACAAGGCTACTTCGGTTAGGGTTGTAAGGTTAACGGGTTCGGGTGTTAGGATTCGTGCTTCGGGTTGGTGTGTTCGGGTTTCTTGTCTTGTGGTTTGGGTTAGGGCGTCAGGTTTACGGTTCGGGGATTCGGGTTTGGGCGTTGGGGCTAGGGTGGTAGGGTGCGGGGTTTCGGGTTAGGGTGTTGGGTTAGGTCCCGCAGGGTTACAGAGTTCAATATATGGTGATAGGGTTAGGTTTAGGGTATTAGGGTTAGGGTGATCGGGTCAGGTTGTTCGGTTGTGGTTGTAGGCTTAGGCTACTAAGGTCAGGGTACGGGTAGTGGGGTGTTAGGGTGATTGGATTCGGGTGTGAAGGTCAGTGTTTGAGGGCTAAGGGGTTAGGGTTAGGGCGTCAGTCTTATTTCGGGTGCTAGCGTTAGGGCGTTGGGTCTACGGTGTCAGGCTGTTCAGGCTCGGTTCGCGTGTTGTGGATATGTTCATTTGGGTTATCGGTTAAGGCCGGGGTGACGGGGTGAGGTTTAGGGAAGTATGGTTAGTGTGATATGGCAAAATTGTTTTGGTCAAGGCGATAGGGCAATGGTGAGGGTGTGAGGGTCCAGTTTATACGGTTCGGATCTTAGGATTCGGGTGATAGTTATAGGGTTGTATTGTGTGGCTAGGGTGTTAGGGTTAGGGTGCCAGCGTTACGTCTAGATGGGCATGGCCAGGAGGTTATGATAGGGGTTTGGAGATTATGATTCGGTGTTGTGCTCAGGGTGATGGTGTTATGGTTCGGATTAGGGTGCTGTGGTTCGCGTGTCAGGATTGTGTTTCCGGTATGGAAATTAGGGTGGTAGGGCTACGTTTCAGGTGTTCGGTCTAGGGTGTTTGGAGAAGGGCTAGGGTGCTCGTTGATAGGATTAGGGTTTGCGTGTCAGGGTGAGGGTGTTAGGGTTACCGTGTAAAGATTCGGGTCGGAGGGTTAGGGTTGTAGGGTGCAAGGGTTAGCTCGTTCGTGTTAGGGTGTCAGGGTGACGGTGACACGGCTGGAGTATTAGGGTCAGGGTATGCGGGTGAGGGTGTGAGGTTTAGGGTTTGCGGGTCACAGTTAGTGTTTATGATGAGGGTTAATGGCTAGGGTGTTCGGCATGGGGTTTGGGTGTTAGATTTATTGTGTTAGGGTTGGGGTTAGTGTTTAGGGTCAGCATATTGCACGGTGTTATGGTTACGATTAGGGTTGGGGTGAAGGGGTTAGTGTATTCAGGTCAGGGTGACAGGGTGCTAGGGTGAGGGTTCGTGCGTGCGGTTAGGGCGTTAGGGTTCCGGTGCTAGCGTTCAGGTTCGCGTGGGGGGTTCGGGTGGTAGGAGTTAGGGTGTTAGGGTTGGGTGGTAGGGTGCTAGGGTTCGTGTTCGTTCGCATGGTCAGCGTGTTAGGGTTAGGGTGCTAGGGGTAGGGTTAGTGCGGTGGCGTTCGGGTGGGAAGGGTAGGTTGGTATGGGAAGGTGGTAGGGGTCGGGTTCTCGAGCACGCGGGGCGGGGGTTGCACCTCCCCCCTTTCGGGGGCAAAGGAGGGGAGGTATTTTAACCCTGCCCCGAAGGAGGACAGGGGGGTTTGCAGCCACCGCCCTTTGGAATGGACGGGGAAGCCCAGGACGATGGATCGGGAAAGGGGGGAGTGGCAGGAGTGGGGGGGGGTGGTCTGACATGTTGGACCGACGAAATGGGGAGGGGGGGTATCCCAACGCCCCCCGCCGTCCTTTGCTGTTGTTGCACGTTTCTGCGCAGGTAATCTCACGCGCTTCTCGTTCATGCCAAGACGAATCTCGGTGCGGCTGGAGCCCTAGAGCGAAACACGCGGTTTCGGCTCCGTGTCCACGCCCTGAGCCGCACGGCACGGCCATTTCCTTTTTGCGCCTTGGCGGCCACGCGCAGCGAACCCGGCCCGGCTGCAATGCCGCCGTTCAGCAAGCCGTCCCAGAACAGGCGGCGCGTGCACCCGGTACAGGAAGACAAGCATGGGTCACAAGAGGTGCCGCCAACCTGCCCAGCACCGCCCGGCGAGTCTCCGGCCGGCCACCGCCCGCGCGACGACAGGGCGAGTGCTGCCGCCGAGACGGTGGGGACGTCCGACGCGCCGTGCAGACCCCCGAGCAAGTGCAGCAACCACAGCACGGGCAGCTGGAGGCCCGTTGCGGAGAACATGAAGAACCACATCGAGTCCATGCGGGAAGAGCTGCCGACGCTGAATCCAGGCCTGGTCGTCACCAAAAGGAGCGCGCAGGTCAACCTGCTGGTGCTGCGCAACCCCAAGGAGTGGCCGCACGGGGACGTGGACGGCGGCGCAGGGAAGCCTGGGATGATATCTGCTATCGACACGGCCGCGGGGACCTGCACCGTTTATTGGTACGAGTCTGGGGAGGTCCACGACTGCAACATCGGCAGGAAGGGCGTACTCTGCAAGCCGTGCGGCAACATCCCGGGGTCGCTTGGAGGGAACGACGGGCTGGCAAGCGTCGGGATGTCGAAGGCCGCTATGGAGGCCATAAGGAAGTTGTTCGGGAGCCTGGGCAAGAAGGGGCACCAGACGACCGCCCCTGTCGAGCCTTTCGCCCGGCAGACCTCGCCTTTTGCTCGGCAGATCTCGCCTTTTGCGCGGCAGACGTCGCCGTTCGCCCGGCAGACGTCGCCGTTCGCCCGGCAGATCTCCTACGCGCAGTACGCGGACAAGACGCAGACGGCCATCATATTCGACTGGGATGACACGCTGTTCCCAACCGCGTTCGTGAAGCAGGACCTTGGCCTCTCCCTGCAGCACCAGCTGAAGGACCAGGCTCAGGAGGGGACAAAAACACACCGACAGGATCTACCGTCAATCCCCCCCAGAACGGATGGGAGCATGTGGGAAGTGGGGGAAGACGAGAGCCCCGAAAACGTGGGAAGATATGGGGAGTCCTGTTGTTTGTGTCCATTTCTTGCAAAGGCCTTACGGCTGGTGCCGCCGACCCTGAAGACGACGAAGATGAAAACGAGGGTGAGGAGGAGCAGGAGGAGGAGGAGGAGGAGGAGGAGGAGATAGAGGAGGAGCAAGAGGAGGGGAGCAAGGGGGGGAGGAAGGGGGGGGAGGAGGAGGAGGAGGAGGAGGAGGAGGAGGAGGATCAGAGGAGCATGAAGTATTGATATTGATAGTTTTCCAGATTTCCAGGTTTTCCTGTTCTTCCGCGCGGGCTCCAGGGACGAATGGTCGAGCGCATTCCGTCGCGCAGGTTCTTTGCGCGATGTTCGCGGTGCATTTTTCGCGCATCGGAGCGCCCTCGAAGATTCCAAGCTGCATGCTGTGTTGCTCTTGGGGGGTCCGCGAGTCGCAGCTGCCATGGCGCTGTTTTCGAGGTGGCCCCTTCGAGTGCTGTTCGCGGACGCAACGCGCGGCGCGCGCTGCGCCCAATCGCGCGCGGCGCGGCGCGTGAATCAGCCGGCCGCGCCCGTCAGACCGCCTGGACATTTGTTCTGGATGGTAGAATGTGGTAGAAAACGCTTCTTTTTTTTGCGCAAGCGGTTCCGGAATTTTTCAAAAAGGAGCCCGGAAATTTTCAAAAAAGTTTTGAGGGGTGGAATGCGCCCGCCGCGCAGGACATCTGAAGAATTCTGAAATCCGGAATTCATCAAAACGGATTTTGGAATTTTTCAAAGTTGATCCCGGAAATTTTCAAAAACGATTTTGGTATTTTTCAAAAATAGGCCGGACACGTTCAAAAACGTTCCCAGATTTGTTCATCTTTCCCCCCGGGGACTTTTCCAGAGTCGCGCATGATTTGCCTTGCCAGGTCTTTGGAAATCCGCCGAGGCGCGCGGTGCGCAGCGGCGGGCGATGGGACGGTGCGCCACCGCCCCCCCCCCGCGTTCGGCAACGAGAAGGGGGGTCAGCAACTGCCAAATAGCCCCTTACGGGCGACCACTCGATTGCGAATGGGTGACCCACCAGCGGCGCCAGCCAGAGTAGACAATACTCGACGCAAAGTGTACCCCGCGCGAAGGCTGTTAGAAATCCCGGAATTTCCGGAACGTATCAATAGCACGTTGTGTTAATAGATTCTTCTCGTCCTAGAGGAGGAGGAGGAGGAGGAGGAGGAGGAGGAGGAGGAGGAGGAGGAGGAGGAGGAGGAGGAGGAGGAGGACTTTATCTGCGTGTCCCAGGGCCCCCTCGCAGGCGCTCCGGCCCCAGACAATGGTGCGCGTGCGCACCGCGCTGGCGAGGGCCGCGGGCGCCGCCGACCGACTCCTGCGGCTGGCCAGCGAGCGCGGGAAGGTCGTCATCGTGACCCTGGGCAGGAGCCCGTGGGTCACCAACTCCTGCAAGTTTTTCTAGCCTCGGGCCGGACGAGGTGGGGAGATCGTATATGAAGGGGCCCTGGGACACACAAATAAATACACACAAAATCCACATATTCCCCATATTTTTCTCATATTTTCTGGGGGGGAGAGGGGGAGTCTGCGCGGACCTCAGATTTCTTCTGTTTCTGCCACTTTTTGTTCCCCTAGATAGGGCAACAGTGGGGTTACTCGACTAGACTCGGGGTGGGGACAGAACCCCCAACAGTGACACGTCGATTAGTGAATTGTCCGTTTTCGGTTCTCGAGATGGCGCCGTGGCCGTTATTTTCCAGGCTTGCGCCCGCCAGGTTTGGGCCTCAGGTCGTTTTCACTAAACCACGTATTACTAAAGGGGGGTCTGTCCATCCCCGATAAACGCAAGAGTGACCTTTCGCTGGAGTGACCTCTGATGCGGGCCACATGGGGTCCCCCGATCGCCGAGCGCGATGCGGTGGCAGCGCCTTGCGCGCTCGTGTTTGGTCCCCCCGCGGCCCCCCAAGAGCCGCGCACCAAAGGTCACTCTTAATGGAGGATGACGATTAATAAATGACCGGAGGTCGTGTTCACGCGGCGGCGCCCGGGATGACGAGTAGAAAAACCCTGCCGCGGGCTGGACAACTATTTTTTATCCTTCTCCTCCAGTCAGAAAATTGTGCAGAAAAAGCAGGAAACTATTTCTTTAATCGTTCTCTTCCATTTATTAATCGTCATCCCGCATTACCCAGGGTCGCTCCTGCGTGTAGCCGAGTTGCGAAATCTGCTGCGTGCAGCTGGTTTCGGCCCCGCCGAGGGGCCCATTCCTCGATGCATGGTCGCCTCCGGCGCCGGGAGGCGCCGGGAAGATCAGCTACGTGAGCTGATTCTCAAACCCCCCCTTTGCCATCCCCCCCTTTCGCCCAGCCCGATATCCTGGGATCGGGGAGCTTCTGCAGAAGCTCGACATTCAGATTGTGTACGCGCGGGAGAGCGAGCAGATAGACTACAGCAAGGTAAACTCGTTGGCCAAGGATCAGTTCGAGACGTTCTGGGCTGAGACGAAGGGCAGGGCGATCTCCAAGGCGCTGGGCGACTTCTACTCCCAGTATGAGGGGCAGTCTTGGAAGAACGTCATATCCCTCGGGGACTCACACTTTGAGCGATACGGCACGATGGCAGCGACGATGGAGTATGCTGCAGCCCAGGGACTGGTTGACGAGGATCACATTCGGAGCCGATGAAAACGCCACAAACATAAACAGTTGGCGCTCCTCGCGGATTTCTTGGATCCGCGCTGGGCCTCCCGGCGGCGCCTCCGGTGCCGCCCTTGGCTCGCTCCGCGCGCCAGGGAAGGGGGTCCAGCGCAGATCCAACAAATCCGCGAGGAGCGCCAACAGTTTATGTTAGGAGGTCCGCGCGGATCTCATCACTACCCACCAAACCACCCCAACCCAACCTGAAGGCTCCAACTTGCCCTCCATTTCAGTAGGGGGGTCGGGGAACATGGACAAAAATACGCAGGAAGCCGGTACCCCTCCAAGCCGAAATTCGGGTCTTAGGTTGGGTTGGGGTCGTCTGGTAGGTGGACATCTCCCCCCTGGCGGCGCCTCCAGCGCCGCCCCTGGCGCGCTCCGCGCGCCAGGGAGGGGGGTCCAGCGCAGATCCAAGAAATCCGCGCAGAGCGCCAAAAGTAAATGTGTTTTTTGTTTGTTCTAAACGTACACCCTCGGAGGCCCGCGCGGTTTTTTTGGGCTGGTGTCGGCGAGCCAGGGGCGATGCTGGAGGCGCCGCCACGGGGGCCCCAATCTGCCTTCGATTCCCAGCAGGGGGGAGGGGTCGGGGAACACGGGAAGGCACCCACGAAGCCCGTGCCCGAAGACCAGAATCTCGGGCCTTCGGGTTGGGTAGGTCGCTTTCTCTGGGACCGGCCCTGAGATCCGACGCTGCAGAAAGACTGCAACATCGCAGAAAATCACGCCCAGAGCCCCCGACGGCATCCTTCTGCGCCATTCATCGAGCCGGATCGATCTGTGAGGGCCCCGGGGACCGAAACTGAGCTAAAACCCGTGTTGCGAAAAAAAAAATGCAACCCCAGGATCTCAGGGGGTGGCTGCGCTGCCGGGGGCCTGGCGCCGAGCGCCGGCCCGGCGCCAAAAGGCCCGGCCGCCGCCACGCGGGCCCCCAGCGCCCGAGAGAAGTCCGAGCAGAGGCCACCGGGGGCGTGCGCGTCTGTGCCCGCTATACAGTCGGGTCGCCGAAGAAGGAACCTTTCTCGTTGGGGAGGGGCTCCGTGTTCTTTAAGTGTTTCACAGTTTGCCTCAGGGTTTCCTTATGATTTCGATGGGAAATCGAAGTTTAACTTGTGGGGAAAAGGGGCCTCGTTCCTTATTTGGGGTTCCTTCGGTCAACGCCCCGACTGTAGGTGCTGGGCCCCCGTGGGGGCGGCGCTGGGGAGCTCCCTCCTGGCGCCGATGCAGGAAGTCTGCGCGGCCCTCCGGCAGTCTCTCTAGCTGCGTGCAGAAACCTTCACAGAGGCGTGCGTCCGTGCCTGCTCGAAGCTGGGCCCCCGCGGCGGCGGCCCAGCGCTCACCGCCCACCAAGCCACCCTAACCCAACCCGAAGGCCCCGAAGTGCCCTCCATGTCCAGTGGGGGGGGGAGGAGGAGGAGGAGGAGGAGGAGGAGGAGGAGGAGGAGGAGGAGGAGGAGGAGAGGAGGAGGAGGAGGAGGAGGAGGAGGAGTCAGGGCCCGCGCCGATCGGCAAGACGAGGAAGAAGACAACGACGACTTATGGCACGCGGAGCGCGCCAGGGAGGGGGCTCTCCAGAGCCGCGGCCCCAACCCAACCCGACCCGAAGACCCGAATTTCTCGGGCCCAGGGGGGGGTACGAGCTTCAAACCGGTTTTTCCATGTTCCCCGCCCCACTCCCCTCCTCCCCCTCCTCCTCCTCCTCCTCCTCCTCCTCCTCCTCCTCCTCCTCCTCTTCCTCCCCTCCCCCCCCTATGTAGTCGATCTTGGCTTTTTTTTATTGCGCCCGTTTCGGGCAGGCGGAGTCTCCCCCCTAGGGCGCACTGCTCCACACAGTCGCGTTGAGCCAGACCCCTCCCCCGCCTGCCGCCCAATGTCGAAGTGCCGAAGAAGAATCAGGGAGGAGGCCCCCGCGCCGATCCAAGAAGCCCGCGCGGCCCCCCGAAAGTTTGTGTCTGTGTGCAGGTTCTTTTCTCCAAACTCGGGTTTGCCTAAGGATCTGCGAAACGTAAGACTCGGGTAAGCGGGGACGGGTTTGCCGACGCTCTTTGACGAGCGCGCCCTGGAGTTTGACGGTCCAGCTTTCGTGGGACTTTTGTAGCGGGAGCTCGCGCCAAATTTCAGCTTGAGTCTCGTCATTTTTATGATGGCCACGTCAGGCCAACCCGAGTCCCCCGTACCCGAGTCTTACGTCTCCCCGGCAGGAGCTCCTGTTTGCTTGTGCAGTAGAGTGCTTGGTGCGGGGCCCTTCCCCTCCAGCGTTGCTTCGGGCTCCTCGGGGCTTCTGGGTGGGCCGAGCAGCGCCAGGCGACGCCAAGCACTGCAAAAAGCAATCTAAAGCAGTGCTAAGTGATATTAGGCATTGCAGACAGATGCAAATCAATGCCATGCAGTGGCTAAACACTGCCAAGCAGTGCAAAGAAACTCCAAGCAACGCCGAGCAATGTAAAGCAGTACCAGGCGTCAATTCCAAGACAATGCCAAGCAGTGAAAAGACATGCTGAGTAGCGCCAACCAACGCAAAGCTATGCAAAGCAACGCCAAACAATGCCAAGCAGTGCGAATCAAAACAAGCCAATGCCAAGCAACGCCAAGCAATGTAAAAGAATGCCAAGCAGTGCCACAATGCCAAGCAATGACTCCAAGGAGTACAAAGCGTGCAATGCATTGCCACGCAATGCTAAGCATTTCATTGCTAACCCTCGCTGAGAACCGCTTGGAGTTGCTCTAGAACAGAGAAGACCCCAATTGGGATCGCTCCGGGTTCCTTCTCTTTTCTCCGGAGGAGGACGACGACGGCGAGAAGAAGAGTGGAGGAGGAGGAGGAGCGGGAGGAGGTCGAGCGTCGATGCTCCAGCAGTGTCTGCTTCCCTCCAGAGGAGGTGCTCGCCCCGACCAGCTCGGTTTGCTCGCTCGCATCGGCGGGCTCGCGGCTGTCCGTGTCGAGCGTGAAGCGCCACGAGAGCAGGGGCAAGGAGAGGCGCACTCGGAGGAGGAGAAAGGGCACCACTATGCCGCTGCCCTCCGCACGTGCTCCTCCCCAAAATGTCGCCTCCCCGCGTGGCCCTCGTCGCCGCCGCTGCATCCGCCTCGGAACCTCTGGCCGGAGCGAGCCTCCCGGGAGAGGGAGGAGGAGGGGTAGGAGAAGGAGAAGGGTGAGGAGGAGGAGGAGGAGGAGGAGGAGGAGGAGGAGGAGGAGGAGGAGGAGGAGGAGGAGGAGGAGGAGGAGGAGGAGGAGGAGGGAGGAGGAGGAGGAGGAGGAGGAGGAGGAGGAGGCCCGGGGAGCGGCGGCATCGGCGCCCTTTGGCTCCCCCCGCGGGGAGGCGCCTGTCGTGGGAGGGGAAGGTCGGCGGCAAGGAGCCGAGAGGGAGGCGGCGAGAAACCTCCGGGCCCGCCGCGCCGCGCTGCCGGCCCCCCCCCCCGGGTGGGTCTGCCCGTGGGTCTGCCCTGCGGAGGCGCCGCTGGAGGGAGGGAGGGAGGGAGGGAGGGAGGGAGGGAGGGAGGGAGGGAGGGAGGGAGGGAGGGAGGGAGGAGGGAGGGAGGGAGGGAGGGAGGGAGGAGGAGGAGGAGGAAGAGGAGGAGGAGGAGGAGGAGGAGGAGGAGGAGGAGGAGGAGGAGGAGGAGAGGAGGAGGAGGAGGAGGAGGAGGAGGAGGAGGAGGAGGAGGAGGAGGAGGAGGAGGAGGAGGAGGAGGAGGAGGAGGAGGAGGAGGAGGAGGAGAGGAGGAGGAGGAGGAGGAGGAGGAGGAGGAGGGAGGAGGAGGGAGGAGGAGGAGGAGCAGTCGATCCCCTACTCGACTCCTCTGGAGGATCATCTCCCGAGGAGCAGTGGGCTCCCCGCCCTGGGGGCTCTCTGGGGGGGGCTTCCGGCGGTCGTCCCGGGGGCGGCTCTGGGAGGCCCGAGTTTACCAGCCTCGAACGGATCCCTATCCCCAAGCTTGACAGTCTCAGAAAACAGAAGGGAGTCCCTAAGGTTGGCATCGTGATGAGGAGATGCCCGGCACAGGGATGGGGATATGTTCCAGGCTGGTAACGAGTTCCGTATCCCGTGTCCGATCCCCGTGCCCATCCCCTATCCCCTTCGAGACCCCCACCAGATTGCCACCCCAGTCGGGGATGCACCCCCTCGAAGCCCGGAGGGAGCGACTTGTGTCCCCATCCACAGAGGGGCACATCTCGGCCAGTGTGGGGCCCAGGCCACGCCGCTGGGGATGGGGATCGGATAAACGAGACTCACAAGTGGCTCGTCTGGGCCGCCTGGAGCTCTCCCACGGCCCTTCTTGGGACGTCTTAATCTGGGGCGGTGTTCGGGGGTCGGGCGCTGGCGCATGAATGTTGCGCAGACCTCCGAGCGCCTGTGTTTCTGTGGCTGTTGTCGCTGCTGGTCTGAGGACGTCAAGGTGAGGACGAAGACCTTCAAGATGCTGGACGACCCGACTGATGAGGAGCTTATCGTGCAGTTGAGACTGCTGCATCGGTGGTTCCCTCTGATGGTGGATCTAGACGACGGCTTCGACATCGATCTCAACAGCCTCGAGGGCGAGGTGGAGTTCGATACGATTGAGAAAGTCTTGCGCCCTCGTTAGTGCCGTCCATGCCAGCGCATGGGCCCCGAACAGTGATTTCGTGTAACAAGATCTTGTGGAGGGTTTCTCCGAAGGGCTTAGGTGATCCGTCCTCCTCCTCCTCCTCCTCCTCCTCCTCCTCCTCCTCCTCACTCCTCACTCCTCACTCCTCCTCCTCCTCCTCCTCCATCTCCTCCTCCCCCTCCCCCTCCTCCACTCCTCCTCCTTTTCGGGTCGCCTACGGCCCCAGGGGAAACCGTGCAAGTTCTTGACGCTTTGCGAATGACCACTGGCCCATCCACAGATCAGGGAGGCCTACCAGCATGGAGCCACTCCTTGGGAGCCTCTTGGAGGCATCTTGTGCGGCCATCGTGGGGCGCTATTGGGGCCCTCGTGGGGCCGTCTTGGCGGCCATCTTGGAGGCATTTGGGGTTCTCTTGGGGTCCTTCCGGGGCCCTCTTGGGCTCTCTTGGAGCCTTCTTGGTGGCCTTGGGGGGCCTATTGGGCCCATCTTGGGGGCCACCGATCAAAAAGTGGGGTGGCGTCAATAGCATCCCCCCCCCTCGGAGGCCGACAGACTGCCTCTTGGGGCTTTCTTGGGGCGCTCTTGGGTGCTCTTGGGGCCGGCTTGGGCCCCTCTTGGAACTCTCTTGGGCCATTTTGGAGCCATCTTGATGCCTCACTTACTCAACGGATTCAAACCCTGGACTGCGATGATCGACCCCCCTCTTTTCTCGGTGAGACTCTATCAAGAGCCGCCCCCAGAAATGAGATTCCCTACCCGGAGCCCTCAGTGTGGGATTATTGCAGGTTGTTTCTGCCGGCGCCTGCAAGATTCGTGAGGACCTCTCAGGAATGTTCAAGGATTCCGAAAGAGAATTCTAGCTGTTTCGCTGGGGTGCTTGAAGATGTCCGAATCACCCGGAATATTCCGAGCTGCTTCCTGAAGGATTCCTGGGGCCTCCTGTGGGTCCCTGACTTAGTGGGCCCTGAAAACGACAGGGCCGTTTTTTTACCGGTTCCGGTTTGCAGTTTTTTGCCGGTTCCGACGCCGTTTTTTTACCGGTTCCGTCGCCGTTTTTTGACCGGTTCCGGCTCCCGTTCCAATCCTGGAGCCGTTTTTATTGCCGTTTCCGGTCGCCGTTTTCTTGCCGTTTCCATTTTCAAGGGGCATCTTTTTGGAAACGGTGAAAAAAACGGCCCTGCCGTTTCCGGGGCCCACAAAGGTCCCCGAAAGGTGTTCGAAGATTCCTGTAGGATTCGTCGGGCTCCCACCAAGACCATAATAGGATTCCAGCAGGTCTCAGGAGGGAAAAAAACACACAGACACAATCAATCGTCGATTCCCCAGAAAATATTGGAAAATAGGGGCAGTGGGGGGGGAAGACAGAAAGCCCAGAAAACATAGGAAAATGTGGGGAAACTTTTTAGTTGTGTGTATTTATTTGTGTGTCCTGGGGCCCCTTCAGTTTGAAGATTCCTGTGGGAGTCGCCGGGCTCCCGCCAAGGCCATACTAGGATTCCAGCAGGTCAAGGGGGGCGTTGTGGAGCTGAATCCTGAACATTCCCAGCGGATTCCTGAAGGATTCCTGGGGCCTCTTGTGGGTCCCTGAAAGGTGTTTGAAGATTCCTGTGGGATTCGCCGGGCTCCCGTCAAGGCCACAATAAATAGGATCCCGGCAGGTCAAAAGGGGGGCGTGCCGGAGCGGCGCGCGTGGCCCGCGCGGGGTGCTGCTCCGCGCCCTTCGATGCCGTGGCATGACACATGGCAGGAAGCAGGAGGGGAAGAAACACACACACAGACACAATGAATCGTCGACTCCTAGGAAACTCCTGTGGGCTGACTGGGTAAACCCTGCGTGATGTGCCGCGTCCTGGCGGCTCTAGGCTTTGGGGGTTCCCAGGAGGTTTACAGACCACGCACCTGTAATCCAGGGTAGGGTCGTTTTTCATCCCTCAATGAAAGGTTTTTGAAGATCCCTGTAGGATTCGTCGGGCTCCCACCAAGGCCATAACATAGGATCCCAGCAGGTCAAAGGGGGGCGCTCCGGAGCGGCGCGCGTGGCCGCGCGCGGTGCTGCTCCGCACCCCCCGATGCCGTGGCATGGCACATGGCATGAAGCAGGAGGGGAAGAAACACACACAGACACAATGACTCGTCGACTCCCCAGGAAATGTGGGAAGATATGGGAAGTGGGGGGGGAAGACAAAAACCCAGAAAATATGGCATGGCATGGCATGGCAGGAAGCAGGAGGGGAAAGAAACACACAGGCACAATGAGTCGTCGACTCACCAGGAAACTATGGGAAGATATCGGAAGTGGGGGGGAAGACAAAAACCCAGAAAATATGGCATGGCATGGCATGGCATGGCAGGAAGCAGGAGGGGAAAGCAACACACAGGCACAATGAGTCGTCGACTCCCCAGGAAACTATGGGAAGATATGGGAAGTGGGGGGGGGGGAAGACAAAAACCCAGAAAATATGGCATGGCATGGCATGGCATGGCAGGAAGCAGGAGGGGAAAGAAACACACAGGCACAATGAGTCGTCGACTCCCCAGGAAACTATGGGAAGATATGGGAAGTGGGGGGGGGGAAGACAAAAACCCAGAAAATATGGCATGGCATGGCATGGCAGGAAGCAGGAGGGTAAAAGAAACACACAGACACAATGAGTCGTCGACTCCCCAGGAAACTATGGGAAGATATGGGAAGTGGGGGGGGGAAGACAAAAACCCAGAAAATATGGCATTGCATGGCATGGCAGGAAACAGGAGGGGAAAGAAACACACAGACACAATGAGTCGTCGACTCCCCAGGAAACTATGGGAAGATATGGGAAGTGGGGGGGGGAACACAAAAACCCAGAAAATATGGCATGGCATGGCATGGCAGGAAGCAGGAGGGGAAAGAAACACACAGGCACAATGAGTCGTCGACTCCCCAGGAAACTATGGGAAGATATGGGAAGTGGGGGGGGAAGACAAAAACCACACAAGGCATGGCATGGCATGGCAGGCACAGGAGGGGAAAGAAACACACAGACACAATGAGTCGTCGACTCCCCAGGAAACTATGGGAAGATATGGGAAGTGGGGGGGGGAAGACAAAAACCCAGAAAATATGGCATTGGCATGGCATGGCAGGAAGCAGGAGGGGAAAGAAACACACAGACACAATGAGTCGTCGACTCCCCAGGAAACTATGGGAAGATATGGGAAGTGGGGGGGGGAAGACAAAAACCCAGAAAATATGGCATGGCATGGCATGGCATGGCAGGAAGCAGGAGGGGAAAGAAACACACAGGCACAATGAGTCGTCGACTCCCCAGGAAACTATGGGAAGATATGGGAAGTGGGGGGGGGAAGACAAAAACCCCAGAAAATATGGCATTGCATGGCATGGCAGGAAACAGGAGGGGGAAAAAGAAACACACAGACACAATGAGTCGTCGATTCCTTCCCCAGGAAACTATGGGAAGATATGGGAAGTGGGGGGGGGAAGACAAAAACCCAGAAAATATGGCATGGCATGGCATGGCAGGAAGCAGGAGGGGAAAGAAACACACAGGCACAATGAGTCGTCGACTCCCAGGAAACTATGGGAAGATATGGGAAGTGGGGGGGGGGGAAGACAAAAACCCAGAAAATATGGCATGGCATGGCATGGCAGGAAGCAGGAGGGGAAAGAAACACACAGGCACAATGAGTCGTCGACTCCCCAGGAAACTATGGGAAGATATGGGAAGTGGGGGGAAGACAAAAACCCAGAAAATATGGCATGGCATGGCATGGCAGGAAGCAGGAGGGGAAAGAAACACACAGACACAATGAATCGTCGACTCCCCAGGAAACTATGGGAATTGGGGGGAAGACAAACACCCAGAAAATATGGCATGGCATGGCAGGAAGCAGGAGGGGAAAGAAACACACAGACACAATTAGTCGTCGACTCTCCAGGAAACTATGGGAAGATATGGGGAGTGTGGGGGGGGGGAAGACAAAAACCCAGAAAATATGGCATGGCATGGCATGGCAGGAAGCAGGAGGGGAAAGAAACACACAGGCACAATGAGTCGTCGACTCCCAAGGAAGCTATGGGAACATAGGGGAAGTGGGGGGGGGGGAAGACAAAAACCCAGAAAATATGGCATGGCATGGCATGGCAGGAAGCAGGAGGGGAAAGAAACACGCAGACACAATGAATCGTCGACTCCCCAGGAAACTATGGGAACATATGGGAATTGGGGGGAAGACAAACACCCAGAAAATATGGCATGGCATGGCATGGCAGGAAGCAGGAGGGGAAAGAAACACACAGACACAATGAATCGTCGACTCCCCAGGAAACTATGGGAACATATTGCAAGTGGGGGGGGGGGGGAAGACAAACAACCCCAGAATATATGGGAAAAGATGGGGAATCCTGTCATTTGTGTGTATTCATTTGTGTGTCCCGGGGCCCCTTCAATGACATGAAGCTTGAACAAAGACACTTAATCGGATTCCAATGATAGCCCCAGAGGTTTGCAGCATGAACTGAGCAATATCCCTGCCGAGTTCGATGTGATCCTTGTAGGGTTCGAGGAGGACCTCAGATCTCAGTAGGAATCCACCGTGTGGCTCTCTCATGAGCGTCCTCCATGGGAGTGCCCCTAATTTGCAAATCGGACCGCCTGCCATCCGCGTGGCTGGTCAAGAAGTTAAGCTTCAGCTCGCATTCACTAGTTCTAACCACGAGATGTCTCGAGCGAGAACCGCAGTTCGAAAAGGACGCGCCCTCCTCTCTTGTCTTATCCGATCTACGAACCAACTTCTACCACTGTTGCTCAGACTACCAGTTCTCCACCGCCCAGACGAGGCTGGGGCAGGGGGCGCATTTCGGAGTACGGGCGCTAGGTGTCGCCGGCGGTGTGGGGGTTGCGGTATTCCTGGGACCGGAGCGTGCCCCGCGACCGCCGAGGAGGCCAGGCGAGGCCAGGAGGTGCGTGAACGGAGTCTGTATGGCTGGGCGCAGGGG